CCCCAAATCCCCAAAACCCCAAAACCCCAAAACCCCTTTAAGTGGACGAGTAGTTGAAATTTATTGAAGGAATCAATGGATTTATGATACTTTAAGTAAAACAGAATATTCCTCACTAATACTGCTCTGAGAGAATGCCCTCATATAGCTTTGTCCACTTCCTTTTGAGTGACTTATCACTTGGGTTGTTCAATACGCACTAAGAGGTAACTAAGACATAAGCTTACAGACTGGATCTTTTCTGCGATTTCAAGCTTGATGTGTCTATCATCAGACTTTTTGATGGCTCATTCAACTACGAAGAAGGTGTACATATTTCTCACAGCCATTTTCATGAACTCTTTTGTGTTGATAACTTCAAGGAATTGGGAGATTATCTCTGGTGAGGCCTTATCGATTCATTTCTCAACGACATTACTGGAGAACTTCTGCATTGAAAGTTTCTGCAGGTTGTCCAGCACTGTGACTATAATATTGCTACAATCCTCCTGCCTCCAGCTGTCTATGGCTACTTGGAGCGAGTAGTTCCCGAATGGATGCTGGGCAAGGAACATAGTCATATTTTCAATTATGCTAATGAATGCTTGTTTGCCTGATTGGAACTTTACTAAAGCCTTTTTAATGATTGGCAGTCCCTATTTTAGGTTAGACAACATTTTTGGTAAAGAAATATTCGAAAATCTTCTTAATTACATTCTTGTTAGTGGACATATGCTCAAAATGATCCACACAGAATTGGTAGATTGGGCTAAGCAGGTCTTCTGGGAAGTGGTCGACCACCTTCTGTAGCACAAAAGTACCATAAGAGTTAGAAGAAAGGCTATATAAAGGCCCTTTGTTTTCATCAAAGGCTTCTTCATGTTCATCCTCGTTGACCTATACCATGAGATGAGCATCCTCACTTTCCTAACTTCAGGTTCTAGGGCTGTTGAGTCTGTTGGGTCAGCTAGCATATCTAAAAATGTGTTTACTTCCACTTCACTCTTGAGCTCAACCACAAGGGTCTGCATGGAGTGAGTGCCCTTCTTATGGCAGCTAAGCTCGACAATATTCTCTTTGATCTTGCTCATAATTAGGATTCTCTCTTCTGGAGAGCACAACTTGAAGACCTCTTGAACAATGTAGTTGCCTAAAGTTAGCTGTAAGCTTACCATTTGAATCCTTAATGACATCACAGAGCTCTTCAGGAGTCTTCTTTAAGATTTTATCTTTTACTCTATTGGACTTGTTAAAAGCAATTTTCTTGAGATCTTGGCTATCTTTGTTAGAACTGATAACATTGAAAGTGTTCAGCGTCATGCTTGATGTTGCTTTGGAGGCAGGCTTGTATGAGTGTGAGTTTATTTTCAGTGACTTGACCCCAAAATCCATACTATAGGGTCTACTGCTAGGATGCCTATGAACCTTTATAGGTTTAGAGAATAGCGTAAAGCTTAAGTTTTGCAATCCGAAAGCATTGTTTTCTTCATTATATCCTTGATAGCAGAATGTTATCGCTAAGGAATGACCTCCCTGCTCCACTGTGATGGTGTTATTTCCCTTCTTTATCTTTGGACTGAGAAGGTCGCAAGTAGTCTTCATCTCCATGGTCTCCTCCTGATCTATTGTATATCTGAAGGTGACCAGGAACTGGCTCTGGTAGGAGTCTAGAACAGGCTCGATTGAGAAAATATTGAAAACAGTCACTCCAGTGTTCTTCTTCTGCAACCCAAAGACTTTGGCAGATTTAGACCATAGAACAAGGTATGACTGGGGATGGATAAAGTACACCTCCATAATTCAGCTCTGAGATTTCATGATAAATGCATCATCCTCTGCCACTGAGAGGACCTTCATGGGTTGCCAGGATGGAGGAGAGACCCCTGCCCCAGCTGGTTGAAAGCTCTCTGGCATACCTTGGGGATATTCTGTATAATTTCAGACCTAGACTTACTGCCTCCTGTGCTATCTGGCCTCATTGAATCTGGGTCCATGCTTGTGGCTTGATCTAATCAATTTTTATATAATTTTTCGGGGTTTTGGGGTTTTGGGGTTTTGGGGTTTTGGGGTTTTGGGG